CAGCACTCCGTAAATTAAATTTAAAAAAAGTCCATTTATTTGTACTAAACGTCACACATATCGGATAATCCAACGTTTCGGGACCATGCAGGGTCCCTTCATCAGGGCAGAGATGTGACAGGGTCACATCTCTGCCCTGATTAAGTACTTTGTGAGGTTCATACATAGCAAATAATTGCAGAGTGAAAACCCTTGTTAAGGCATTGCAAATGAAAGCAAAATTGTGAACTAATGTTGGGAAATTGTACTACTGAAGATCTTGAGAGTGATAAAAAGCCAGGAGGGAATTCAGTTTACCAATGCCAATGAACTGACCTTTTTCTAAGAGAACAACTGTTATATTTTTGACCTAGCATATCATTTTGCACAAAGTAACTAAATTCCCATACCAATGGGCTAGTGTAATGTGATACTTTTTAATGGCTACATTAGGGTCATGTCACACTGGCAATTTTGTAGTATGGGTTTTTTTGTGTGATTTTTTACAGTGATTTGCAGCTGTCACTCAACATTGCATGCAGCTTTTTTTTTTATGTCAGTGACAAGATGGCCAGCTACAATTGCATTTACCTCTATGGCTTAGCTACAAATCACTGAGGAAGAGTGATTTGTAGCAGTGAACATAATGTAATAATGTAGCACAAGTTTGACCTATAGCTACGAAAAATCACCAATGAATATAACAAATATGCCACTGGCTACAAACCACATGCATTAGAATTTTGTAGCACAATTAAGCACTGCTACAAAATTTCCAATGTGGCCCAGGCCTTAATATTACCTGAATATGTTCTGCCAGGGGCATCCCGAGGCTGGGTGACACCCGGAGCGGTAACCAAGTGTCACCCCGTCGAGACTTCACTGCGCATGCGCGTGACATCACCACGCGCATGCGCGATGATGTCATCGCGCACGAGCTACAGTATTCCGATACATGCCGGCGGCTATATTAGTGATGGACGCCGGCAGAGAGAGGAGGGTACAGTCACCCGGAGGGATAAGGTATGCCGCCGGGTCCCCTCCTCTGTCGGGCGTTCGGTCCATGTCCGAGCGCCCGACTTTTCAAAGGGGGGTGACACCAAAATGACTGTGAGTCATTTTGGTGTCACCCCTCCAATGGTGTCACCCGGGTGCGGGCCCCACCCCCCGCACCCTCCTTGTGACGCCACTGTGTTCTGCTAGTGTAAATAAGGAATGTATCTGTCTTTTAGGCTCAGATTCAAGCAGGTGTGACATCAAAGAAAGAGGATCTTGCATCCAGCACTCCAGCTGGGGATTATTCTAGCACTCCAGCAGGGGATTATTCCAGCACTGAGTTTAGCATGGTTGCAAATGGCAAGTATATGAAAATGCTCTATAGAAATTGACTATAAAAGCGGTTGACCTTATATTGCCTTCTGTTTACATCTGTAAATGCTACTAACCAATTGAGTGAACCTGTTTTGACCTATTTGTTTTGTTCTGAGTCATCATTTACTGTATGTAAAGACTATGGAGTTAGTAAATATTACAATAGTATTTTCTGACTTTTTTCATGCAGGTGACGTGCATTCTTCGGATACTGGCTATTCTGATGTGGATCAGAATGTTACAGGTGCAGTTATTGTTCCAGACATTGGTTTCAGTCATACAGAGCATCTGGTGTTACAAGAGGATTCACCACTGGAAGCTGTGAATGTAGTGTGTGAAGTTCTCTCCACCAAGCAGCTAATACTGCGAAGGGGACTTGTAGTGTTTTTATCTTTGATAGTGCTTATAGTAGGAGTCATGGTTAGACTTTAGACTGGGAATGGATAGAGTAAATGAGTTGATGACCTCTAAATGAAAACCTTCAACTGGGCAGATCCTATAATGGGTTGTCTCAAAGAGCCAGGCTATTGTGATTAGCAAAGGATAGGTTGTATAAAAATGATTCTCAGGATTCAAGCTCTTCCATCTTTCTATAAGGATATGAGATGGAAATAGTTTTAAGAGCTATACAATCTACTCTATTAGATTGTTTCTATCAAAAAATGTTATGTTCCGTCATACATCTTTTGTTGATTAGAACTGCCAAACAAACTTTTTGCTAAGAGTTCATGCAACTCTAATTTGTTGTTACTGTAATTTGACACTCTGACTGCCTTCAGGAGATCCTTAACCGCTTCCCGGCCGGCCATTGTGAATAAATGGCTGGCAGGGAGTTTCTTGGATGTGACAGGCCATCTAAAGATGGCCTGTTAGCCCCGCCCACTCACGCACACCGCACGGTGCGCAAGAGAGGGAACCGGTCATAATTTGTAAACAGGCAATGATGCCAGTTTACATACAAGCGATCCACCGGCTGTGGGAAGCCTATCCCACCTCAAACTAACCAATGAACTATCACGTTCTCTCAAACAATTCATCCCCACACAGCTAGCTCCTCATGTATCGATTGCCCTTCCCTTTTAGATTGTAAGCTCTCACGGGCAGGGCCCTCCTTGCCATCTTGTCTTGAATTGTGTTGTAATTGTAATGTCTTCCTTATATTGTAAAGCGCTGCGCAAACTGTTGGTGCTATATAAATCCTGTATTATAATAGTAATAATAATAATAATAATGGATTTGTAGTTTCACCACAGCTGGCGTGCCAATGTTGCCTACCCCTGAACTAGAACATGAACTTATCTGATATTTCTTTACTTAGGTAATGTGATATCGGTGGTAGAAAATGTCATGTGGTCACCACTACACTTTTATTTTTATATTTGTGCATAGTAGTTGGGTTAACAGTATAATTATACCAGCATTTTAATTAATAAGTATTTATATTGTTATTTAATAAAGCTCAATGTAATCACATCTGCTGTTTCCATATTTCATTGTCCCTTAAAGGTATAAGAATGACATTGAATAAATGATTTATTATGTATTTGTCATAAAAGAGCCAAAAGCTCTTTATGTGCCTTTAAGTTACAATTTGCATATAATGCAGATTTTTTAAAAAAATGCATATAATGTTTTGCTTTACAATTTTACATTCTGTGTTTGGGTATAGGAGACATGGCCAGAAGAGTAAATGTAAGAGAAGAAATCTATTTCTGCATATTGAAATTCGACTACAGCTGATACCAAATACCGATACAGGCATCAGTGGGCCCGCCACCTGTCTTCTTGATTACCTGGGAGGCCGATGTTCTATCGAAAGAACACCAGCTTCCCGTGCCTCCTGACACTGCAAGGCAGCCTGGCTTCCTGACCAATCAGGAACCTGGGCTGCATGTCATGACCCGCCTCCCGGCTTCCTGATTGGTCAGGAAGCCGGCTTCCTGATTGGCTAGGAAGCCAGCGTACCTTATTGCTAGGCAGTCTGGCTTCCTGACCAATCAGGAAGCCAGGCGGCACATTGTGACCCACCAGTCGGCTTCCTGATTGGCCGGGAAGTCAGCTCCATGCTTTCTCACAGCACTGCCGGTCAGAGGGAAATCTCCCCCTCTGACCAGAAGTTCTGTTATCGAGGGTAAGTATCGGTGCATTTGGGCGACTACGAGTACTCTCCCAAATACTTGGTATCGGCACCGATGCCGATAATAGTATCGATGCACCCCTAGTATTTTCACTTCTGGTTGAATGTTCTTAGCTATTGTTTCAGGCTAAATATATAGTAAATCGCAAGAAATTACACAGCACACACCCACACAGGGATCGCTCAGTTGCAGAACTTTCTTAACAGATGTCTACTAATATACTTCTTCAATGCAAGTTTTTCATTTAAACTAAGATACAACATCCATGTGAAAAAAGTAAGTACACCAAATTGAAAGTGTTGACTTCTTTAATATGATTGTACAAACAAACATCAGATCTTTAAACAGTGCATACAGATTAATGTAATATACTTTGATGAAAACACAAGGAGAATTAGCCTTTTCAGGAATTTATTCAACAAAACCGTCAATGGGTGTAATAGTGTACTGTGGAAAAAGTAAGTATACCCTTGCCCTCAGAACGGGTTTTGACAATAGATGGGAACAAAGTTCATGTGGGCAGGCAGAAGGCAGGGTTAGTGTGCAGTGCTTCCAGTGTCACCCGGCTCATGCTTTCTAGCCTAGCTGCTGTGTGGATGAACTGATATCCCCCCCTTATCTACACCCTTCTATTTACATTGTGCACCCACATATTTTCTCCTTTTGACCAGCAGTGAGGAGCACAATATTACTGACCGCTGCACTCTGTACACAGTGCTGTATCTTACCTTCACTATGTTGTACATTATTCGTCTGATCCTGCACTGCATTCGCTGTGTTGTATATTATACTCCTGGCTCCTGCATTGCATGTTCTAAATCATACTCATTACCCTGCACTGCATTCACTATGTTGTACATTATACTCCTGACCCTTGCACTCTATATGATATCTTGTACATTATACTCTGACTCCTGCACTGTATATGCTATGTTGTACATTATATCCCTGACCTCTGTGCTGTATGCTCTGTGTTGTACATGATCCCCACTGCATCACTATGTTGTTCATTGTAATCCTGAACCCTGCATTGTGTACACCATGTTGTATGTTATATTAAGCTGGGTGACAGAGTCCTGACTATTTTTATTGCACACGAATTTTGCAAAAATTATGTTTTCTAAATATTTGATGCCAAATGTTTACAGATTAAAAATTGGAGATGGCTAAATAAATAAATAGTTTAACTAATGAACAAACTTTGGCTGTGTTTCTGTCCCTATTATGAAGAGTCTTCCTGTATATAAAGTATTTTAAAATGAAATTGTGCAATAGATTAACAATATGCCTCTTTTAGAACCACACCAATTTGAAAGGAATGCCTGCTCCTAATTAACACACATTTCTCCACCTACAATGTTTTGCTGGGCAAGGTAAAAAAAAAAAAAAGATGTCCCTGGAAATGTTGTTGAAATGTTGGCAACTATGATGGTCCCAGAAAAGGAACAGCCATATTCACAGCTATACCTTACTCAGACTATGAGTGTAAGGGTTTGCAAACATGAAAAAAAATCATCTTTTGGTGATCATATGATTTCCTAAGAAACAATACATTGCATAAGAGTGAAAGTGGAGCAAAGGCTTGATCAGAGGAACATTTGCTTTGTGGTTATACAGTACATGTATTGTAAAACACGAGGCCGATTAATGTTGTACATTATTCGTCTGATCCTGCACTGCATTCGCTGTGTTGTATATTATACTCCTGGCTCCTGCATTGCATGTTCTAAATCATACTCATTACCCTGCACTGCATTCACTATGTTGTACATTATACTCCTGACCCTTGCACTCTATATGATATCTTGTACATTATACTCTGACTCCTGCACTGTATATGCTATGTTGTACATTATATCCCTGACCTCTGTGCTGTATGCTCTGTGTTGTACATGATCCCCACTGCATCACTATGTTGTTCATTGTAATCCTGAACCCTGCATTGTGTACACCATGTTGTATGTTATATTAAGCTGGGTGACAGAGTCCTGACTATTTTTATTGCACACGAATTTTGCAAAAATTATGTTTTCTAAATATTTGATGCCAAATGTTTACAGATTAAAAATTGGAGATGGCTAAATAAATAAATAGTTTAACTAATGAACAAACTTTGGCTGTGTTTCTATCCCTATTATGAAGAGTCTTCCTGTATATAAAGTATTTTAAAATGAAATTGTGCAATAGATTAACAATATGCCTCTTTTAGAACCACACCAATTTGAAAGGAATGCCTGCTCCTAATTAACACACATTTCTCCACCTACAATGTTTTGCTGGGCAAGGTAAAAAAAAAAAAAAGATGTCCCTGGAAATGTTGTTGAAATGTTGGCAACTATGATGGTCCCAGAAAAGAAACAGCCCTATTCACAGCTATACCTTACTCAGACTATGAGTGTAAGGGTTTGCAAACATGAAAAAAATCATCTTTTCTTGATAAACAAAGGGCATTGCTTATAACTGGAAAATAACAGTTGATCTGAAAAACCTCTACCAGCCTGATCTGTTGCATTATCCATATTGTTAGATATGAAAAGATATTGCATTGATGTCATACATTTAAAGTCAGCTAAGTGTAGGCTTTGCGCCCTCCAATGGAGCAAAGGCTTGATCAGAGGAACATTTGCTTTGTGGTTATACAGTACATGTATTGTAAAACACGAGGCCGATTTAAAAAGAAAAAACAGATAAACTTAAAATATTTGGAATCTGTTCTTGATAAACAAAGGGCATTGCTTATAACTGGAAAATAACAGTTGATCTGAAAAACCTCTACTAGCCTGATCTCTTGCATTACGCCTTCCTACAATTTATTTCACAATCGTTTCCTTTCACTATTGTTAGATATGAAAAGGATATGAAAGTCAGCATGGAATCAGCCATTGTTGTGTCCCCTGTAATTCAACAGATATATAAACATATTATCACTATTATTGTTGTTATTATGTTACATAGATGTATAGTCACAGACATTTGTAGATGAGGTCTATATATGATGTACTTATGCTCACACATACTTCATCTTCTTGTGTAATACTGACATTATTATTATTATACAGGATTTATATAGCGCCAACAGTTTGCGCAGCGCTTTACATATATTATTTGTTACACAATAGCTCAAGAGTGTTGCTAAAAACATGCAATCAAGAACAAATATTTCTATTAGATTGTGTCTGGAAAGCAGACCTAGTGTGTATAGAACAGCATGTGTATAAAAATATAAAACCTTAACAGGACTTTTTTTACAAACGGATGGGCGGTGTCCATGTTGGAAAGGCTTTTCTAAAGTCGTAGGAATCTTTTGCTAGGTAATTGGTAGCAAATGACTTGTACGATGAGTCAAAAGCTAGGCCAGCGAGGCTGAATGAGAGAAAATATTATTTCTCTAATCCGTGCTCAAGAGCGTGGATGGAGGAATCTGCGCTGCCAGCTATACCTGAACACCCAAACAGTGGCTGCATTTATTTGTATGCAGTCCCTGTTCAGCCAGCAAATTTCCACTTGACTCCTTCGATTTTGCAATAAAAGTTTGTCGATCCTGGTGGGGCTGAGAGGGACAACCATGGTTTGAATTTCAGCCAGTTCAGCAGCATTTGGAAGAAATTCAAGCCATGGACGCCAGATCTAGCTTGAAGATGTGTGTGGGGGGAGGTGCAGGACAGAGAAAGTACATACTCATACTCATAGAGAGACAAATATAAGTGAAGTAACCTATAGGCCTAGAGCACTGTTGGATGTGCTACAATGAGAAAGTTTAGACTAGTGGTCAGATATCAATCTAGTGTGAACACCCTGAAAATCTGAACCTGGAGGTTAGGTACAAGAGAAGAAACCTCTTACTCAGGGATCCTGGCTAATAAAGCAAACCACTCCTGAAAGCCTACCTCCAGACTTTTAAAAGTCATTCAAATTGTTTGCCCCTCTCCCCACTGAGCTTGTAAAGGATCCAACTCTTTTTTTTTGAGGGGATTATATTTTTTTTACCTGCTCAGAGTTAGCTTTTAAAAATGGAGACTTGGGGCATGCACCCTAGGTACCCAGTACAGTAAAGAAGAATACAAGGTACTGATAGGTGTCTAAAAGATACTGGCCAATGAAACTATATATTGTTTCATTATATACCCTTCATTACATTTAGAAAATAACAACCATCTTTTACCATATATTTTATAATACAGCAGAACGTGGTTCACTCTTTTATGTCGTCAACTTACCTTTTTCCACCAAGCCAAATTGAGATTTCAAAATATCTGTTTGTGAGATTGTCGGGTCAGGGACTTCTACTGGCTTCACTCCAGCTCTTATTCTTGCCTTGTAAAGTGACATTTATAATCAGGTACAATCAGTACAAATAAGCCATCATACAATATATAGTTCTTAGATTTGGTGACTGCATTCTTTTTTTTTTTTGGCTAAGCACATTATCTGCAGTTGAAGAAAAAAAAACCTGTTGCTCTTGTCAGAAATCTTGTTTCGGTGCCTGTGTATGGAAACAGTTATCAGCTTTCCCGGCTATCTTCTGTGAACTACAAAACAACTACCCCTATGTAATGAAGAGCCCCCTCTCTTCTCCATTACATCAAGGGTAGCTGTTTTGTGTTTGTAGTCCAAATCAGAAGGGCAGAATAGTGGCATAGAATGCAGTGAGTAGGTTTTGCCCTACAACAAGAAGTATGTTCCTGGCAGGATTACCAGGTGAAAATAAAGGAGAAAAAAAATCTTGAATTTTTGGGTATAGATAGATTTAATGGTTGGCCCTCAATAGGGAATGTCACCAGCTATTGATACTGCAGGTGAAATCTGAAAATGACAGCAACATGTCCAGCCAACCTAAGCATTGGGCAAAACATAGATTAACTAAGTCTAACTACAGCTTCTTTTAATGGAATAAGCTAATTACCTCTTCACAGACCTTGTGCCAGTTAATGCAAAAGATGTAAGGTATATAGATGCAAGTTTGCAGCAATACCGGACAAAACATTCCAGTCCATAGACCTTGAAGACAAAACATGCATTTGAAAGATACACCACAAAATCTTACGATACCTGCCTTTTCAAAAAGAAACAAACGGTAAAATATGTTAGCCAGTATGAAGAACATTTTTCATATACAGTTTTATCAGAAAACGGTTTGCCTTAGAGAAGTATTGGATTGTTTACGAATCTTTTTCTCCATGTAGTTTTTGGGAAAATAATAGGTTGCTCGTATTCACATTTATCAGCCAATTGCAGTAGCCAGACAGTGCAGAGATTCCTGCGCTTCTGGGCCCTAGCAGTCACTTGGTCTGATACAGCTAAAGTTAAGCCCTTGCTTCTGACTATTAGTACCTATTATTACCATGTGAAACCCTGGCCATGTTTTTCTTTCTAAAGCTCTCAAATGTAAAAATAGAAATTCTACTTTATTTTTGCACCTCTCAAAACACATTCAATATTGGCTCAATATCATCCAGTTAGGATTAGATCTTGGAGCCTCATGTTATCTCAAGTTCCTCTTATCACAGCCACTGAAAGAGGACACTGTATCCTCTTTGAATCCTAATTTATGGGCCATTGTTAGTGTACTTAGTGTTACCCCTAGTTGTTTTCTTCCCTGTCCTTACCCTATGACTATAGCAACCGGTCCAATAACAACCAATCTGTATCAGCAAAGCTAAATTCAGCTGATATTATAATCTTACAATTCAGTGTAGGAACGCAAACATTTAATATGCAAACATATTACTGCCATATATCCAGTTAGTAATCTTACCTATAACCCCAAGTTTTGCTGGAAACATCAGCGATAATCCAACCGGAATCCCAATGAAGTAATAACCAAAAATATTTGTAATAGCACCAATTTTTTGCTTTCCCATTCCTCTTAATATTCCACAGCAAGCTGTCTACAACAGAATATTGAAGGTTAAATGTTGTATACTTCCATCATTCAGAGGACCACTATGAAAACTCATGTTTGAATTGCATAAACTGTGCAGCAAATAAATGTTTTCTTGCACAGATTATCAAACAAAAGACCAAAAAGTAATTTTACGTGTCCATTAAGGGACACGGCAATACAGAAACCGTTGGGTTATATTGCTGCCTCCAGGAGGTTGGGACACTGGCAAACAGAAAAATTGTAAGCCAGCCCTCATTCAAACCCTCCACTATTCAGCATGCTTCAGTTTCTCACCAGCGTCCTAGGAGGCTGAAAGCTTTTCCTCAATTGTGCTGAAAAAGGTCTAACAATTTTTTGCTAACCTTCTTTACTTGGCAGAATTTTCTCTCTGAGACTTAAATCAAGATTCCTCCCTTGTACCGCTTCTTGATCTGGTCTCTATATGGCATCTATGTGGTTCATCATTTCCTCAGCCTAACTTTGTGGCCAGACTCAGCTGGACCAGACTTGTGAGGCTAGCCTGGAATGTGACCTTTGGGCACTGGGGTCTGCTCTGCCCCTGCTCCTGCTGATAAAGCACCACTAGGATCTCTGGTCTGTTTTAACTGCCTGCCTACAGTGACCTGGTGTGGCCTAGAAACGTTGAGGCATGTTGTTACTTTGGCTCTGCTCTTGACACCATGATTAGCAATGCTATGGGTGGCCAAAGTGTGCTCCTGCCTCAATGCAAGAGGTTTGCAGAGGAGTCGGAGAAACCGCAACATTTACCTTCATCTACATCGGCAGTAGGTACTCGTAGGCCTTTGGAGCATCACTCCCACTTAGCCTGCAGGGCTCAAAGCCTTAGGTCAACTAATCCTTCTGAAAAGCCATTGTCATGATGGTGCACCACCACTTCTACAGCTGAGGAACTGTTTGTACGTCTGGGTAAGTTCTTGGGTAGTATGTCTTCCCAGCATTTAGGTTACCCCTCACTGTATTTCTTGTGCTACTGAACAAAGTATTGCATCTTCCTAAATCTTACTGTGTTCCTCGAACCCTGGCACCCCTTGTAGTTCCAATCTCATGTAGGTGACCGTATAACCTGACTGTTTCTGAATTTATGTGTCCCTTAATAAACTCCAAGAAATAGATTCTATGGTAAGTACAAACATTAAAATGTTCCATCCATTTACTTCTGCAGGTTTGCAGTAATATTAATTTAATGTTGTATAACTGAGCTAAATATGAAAATACTTACAGTTGTTCCATCAAACAGGTGAAATGGAGCAAATAGGAGCATGATTTTTGAAACTAAAGCAACAATATCCCTAAATTTAAAGACAAAAAAAAAATAACGTGACATAAGAACGTACTATGAAACAATTACCATGACAGTATAATGTAATGTTTTACATATAGGTTACATAGGTTAGGACAAATTAATAAAGTAGCCATTTCACTTACTAATAGCTTTACCCTTTTAGATAAATCTTTTTTCCCTTACTATGTAGCTGTGTTCTATTTAGCCAGCAGAGCTACATATTTACCAGGCTTTATTGCAACAGCTTGCCAAAAAGGAAGAAAGAGCTTTTTAAAGCTGGGGGCAGTTGTATTAGAAAAATTAAACTGTAAAATAAAGGTCCGACACCTCCACTAGAATCCTAAAACGTATTCACAAAAGTAATTACGATTCAGGTATGTTAAAATCATAGAACAGCAAAACAAAGAGCAAAAAGGGTCCCCTGTAATGGTTCAATGCAGTAGAGGTTGTGTTCTACAGAACAGAGGTATTCTGTTAAGTGTTTTGCAACAGATGGCAGAGGAATTAATATTTTTAAAGGAAAGACCAGGTTGAAATAAAAATAAACCCTACCCCCCCCAGGGGGTACCCTAACCTACTCTAAGCTACCACCCTGGTGTCCACTTACCCCTGACAGTGGAGCCTCCCATAATATTTACATCCTACTTTTGGAAATCTTGGCACTGTGAAGTAGCCTTTCATAAACTGATATGGACAATATTTGTACTGTTGGAGTAAGCCCCTATTCATGTCTAGGGGAAGTCCAGCACGGGGCAGTGCAAAGAAGATTTCTGAATGGAGGATATAATCTCTGTGGGAAGCAGCTGCCGTTGGAGGAAGGTAAGTGGGCACTCGGTTGGGGGTATGTTAGGGTGTTAAAAGTCACCAAATTTTGCTTCCTATCTAAACCTGAACTTGTCCTTTAAATAAATATACATTAATCCTGTCATTATTTACATGTTTGGCTTTGTAGAGAGGTGACAAGACCTTAGCAGTGGCAGTAAGGACTGCAAGGGTATCCAATGTTGGGAGGGTCAAGTCTTGGAACATACTGTGGGTGTGGAGGCATTACTGAAGGGAAGCTTTGGTGTGCATTCCTAGAGAAAGCAGCTGTGACTAGTTTAGGGTGAGGCAGTGCAGTGCTGACTCTGAATAGGTGGGTGAGGGTGAGGTGGGTGAGTGTAGGGTTGGAGTAATGTTCTGGCCACCAGTAAGACCTTTGTGACTGACATAGGTCTCACTGGTAACTGACAAGTGACTGAATTTAATACAGTACTGTCAGATCTGGACTCAAAACTACTTTCTGTGGTACCTCTTCTTATTTGCAAAATACTGATTTTTAAAGAAAGTGGACTGCCAGCTTTGGGCCTGATTTTGTATCCCAGTAAAAGCTGTATTTGGCCATTCATCCCCCTTTTTCCCATCATTACACATAGGGATGCACTGATGCCATTTTTTCAATACAGAGTACGAGTACCAATACGTTTCCTCTAGTACTCGCCGATACCATTTACCGATACCTTTTTTTTTTTGTGTCATGTGACAGTTTTTCTACAACAATACAGACTAATGATTTTAGGACAGTGGTGGAGCGGCCAGGCCTGGTCACAACTGCAAATGCTGTGATCCTGGTAGTTCTGCCACTGATTCTAAGCTGTAGAGGGACTACAAATCCCAGCAATACAGTATACAGCAATGCAGAATACCACCAGCTATAACGGACTACAAATCCCAGTGATAGATTATACAACAATGCAGAATACCACCAGCTATAGAGGACTACAAATCTCAGCAATACATTATACAACAATGCAGCAGAATACCACCAGCTATAGAGGACTACAAATCCAAGCAAAACATTATACAGCAATGCAGAATACCACCAGCTATAGAGGACTAGAAATCCCAGCAATCCACTACACAGCAATGCAGAATACCACCCGCGATATAGGACTACAAATCTCAGCAATACATTATGCAGCAATGCAGATTAAAATGAAGCTACATACTCACCAGGGATATGCGGTGTCTCAGGGGGCTGCGCGGTGTCTGAACAGGGCTATGCGGCATCTCAGGGGGCTATGCGGTGTCTGACCAGGGCTGTGCAGGGTTTCACTAGGGCTGTGTGGGGTCTGACCAGGGCTATGTGCTGGTCTCACCAGAGCTGTGCGTTGATCTCGCCGGGGCTGTGTTCGGTCTCACCAGGGCTACGAGTGGGGTCTCACCAGGGCTGCATGCTGCCTCACCAAAGCTGAACACGGTCTCAATAGGGTTGCATACAGGTCTCACCAGTGCTACGTGCGGTCTCACCAGGGCTGCGTGTAGGCTTCCCCAGGGTTGTGCAAGAGGCGGGTCTCCCCATGGGTGTTCGAGAGGGTGTGGAGGCGGGTCTCCCAAGGGTTGTTCGGGTGGATGCGGCAGCGGGTCTCCCCATGGCTGTACAGTTGGGTGCGCAAAAGCAGGAAATATGTGGCCAGACTAGCGCCTTAAACGCGCTCCGCGAGGTCCCCAGCAGGCTGCCCCAGCAAGGAGCGGTATCAGCGTTAAGTATCGGGGCATTTTAATGAGTACGAGTACTCGTGAAAAGGCCCAGTATTGGCACCGATGCATCCCCAATTACAGTCTTTTTAATTCATCATCAGCACAAGCTGTCCTTCCTCGTTCAAGGTACCGATAATGCTAATGCTTCAAATCAAATAAATTGTAAATGACCCCTAAAGTCCTTACCAAAACAGGGTAGTGTGTTGAAAGTCACTTTTCTGCTTAAAAATTTAGAAAAATGCCTGGTGCGGAAAAGAAAAGTGAGATCACCACATATCATAAATGGATTTGAAGAAGTTACTTAACTTCATATTACTCACCTATCAGTTGTAAACATATAACCTATGACATTTTTCAGTGCAAGTGCAATACTGCTGATCAACAAGCAACCAATTGCTGAAAAATAGGAAACGCAGATTAGACTGGAAAATAATTTAATATTTCAATTGCCTAGTTTATGCTCTAAAACAGCAAACAACAATAACTGAATCAGAAGTGATATTCCAAGCCTAAGGAAATTGCATAATTGAAAACAAATGACAGATAAATGCAAGGCTGTTTTTCAAATGTGTTCTAGGCCTGACTATGAATGTGTACCTATAGCCATTTTTTGGATTAGGATCAGATTTTGGATAGAGTGGGTTAGAACCATTGTTAGTTTTTTTGGGGGGGAGGGTTTCCAATTTCTGTCCATGTCACACTAGAAAGTTTTCCCTTTACTTGTTGCCCCTAAGACACCACAGGGAGTCATAGAAAATATTTCCAAAGTGAAGGGAAAACCCCCAATTAGGCCACTGTCACTTAGTGGGTCTACAGGGTACACATTCTTTTTTTTTAACTTGTTTTATATTATGCAGTATTTTTTTAGTGCCCAAAATCCTACCTGTGCAGCAAAGTACAACTTTACAAGACTTTATGGCTTGTTCGATGTCTCCAGCTCCTAAAGCATTTCCAATCCTGACATTGGCAGCCGTGCCAAAGCCAATTGGAAGCTGTAGAGGAAAATATTAATGTGATTTAGAAATCTGACCAAGACATTGCTGGTGAGAATCATTTTAGTTTACCATGGTAAATAACTGCAACCTCAGACATTACAGAAATGATGCAAGTGGACACGATCCAAAAATAATTGTATGAGAAAAAATACTAAAAAAACTGAGCAGCAGTGTGAGAAGCAGTGGCTTAGATATGCTTGCATGTCTGCTCGTATACCTTGTACAATGTCCTGGTAGCCTGAGCCTAGAGATGCTCTAATAAATAAATAGCTTGGTCGGGATCTTGTGTTTGGCTTGACCCATTTAGGCTTTCTGCATCTCCCTATTGGCCCGTAGTTTTAAACCAAGTAAAGGAAGTTGTAACATTGTTACATATTTGATCCAAACCACCTTGTACCCCATTGCTCCTGCACACACCCCTCTTGCGCTTTGGCATATCCACTATTCCTTAAACATACCACTCTTCACCCTGAAGCATTTCTTCCTACATACATTACATTCAAATGTTACCCTGATTAGTCGCTAATGACTAGACATGTGCAGCAGCTAAAAATTTGTTTCGTTTAGTTTCGGATTTCGTTTATTTCGTTTTGGGAATCGGATTCGTATTCGGATCTGATTCGGAATTCGTGTCGGATTCGGAATTCGGATTTAGAATTCGGACGAATTCTCAAAAATTCAACCTCAGGTGGAATAGCAGAATTGGCACATTTGTCATTTCTGGTTGCTGTGCTCTAGTCTTTACTATTAAAGGGACATTAAAATCATTTTCTTAATTTGTTTTTATCCGCTTCAATTTTAACAGTGCACGCACAGGATTTGGACGAATTTCGTTCCAAATCCAAAATTTCGCATTCTTTCGGATGATTTCGGATATGTTATATTTCGGAAATTCGGATGCTCCGAATCTACGAATTTCCGAAATTTCGTCCGAATTTCGATTCGGACTAATGATTGCCATCCTGCACTTTGAGCAACCAGCCTTCGTTTTCTTCATCAATACCACTCATCTCCTGCCCTTGTTTTTAACATTCTACCCCTTCTCTTCACCTGAATGAATTTCACACATTCATCAAAGCCTCATTGCTTCCTTAAATGCAAACACTCTTTTTGGGGCATTGCTTTGCACTACTTCTTTCTGAACTTGACTTTGGCCACATAAAAAATGCTTTATAAATACAAGAAAAGACATGTAGAAAAGTAGTTGTATACCATTACGAAGATGAAATACATGTGTGAGAGCTGTTTTACCTAGGCTTTACAAAGGATTTGTAGGATTTACAAAGGGTATTTCTATCTATCTAGTTTTGATATTTACACAGCTCCGCTACACAGTACAGCTCTGTCTGCCAGGACAGTAGACATTTTTTATTGCTGTAGTTAACCAACACTTACAGGTCTTGTCTCTGCCCAAGCTTGTGAGAGGACAGTGAAAGGAGAAGCAGAATACTGATGAGCCCATCTCTGTTACTCTGCCCTCTCCTCCTTGTTAGCCCATGAGCACTGAGGCAAAACAGACTGGCTCCTTGTACTGCTTCTCCTTCTTCTAGCCTGAGCTCTGCTGTACAGGGTATTTAACAAGGCAGATATTGAGTCAAATGCAGGTACTCAATCTGCTTGCATTAAACAAATACATTAAATGTTGATTTAATTTTACTTTCTTTCTGGAGTTTAATGTTACAATGCATAAACAGTAAAGCGACCATCATACCATTATAGCCAATGATAACAACTCCAACATAATGACTTGTCCCCCCAGGTCCACAACACTAATAAGCCCTAAACAAAAAATAAGATGAATATGTCAGTAGTTGGACAACATTCCATACATGTTTTTGTTTACTTACATGACCCAAAATAACAATGTTATTCAATCAGAAGGACCACCAGGGACTGATAAAACAGGAAATATCAGACAAAATTATTTTCCATGGAAAAACTGCATGGTTTCAGTGTCTACAAAGTACTACTACTACTACAGCCTCATTCATTAAATATAAATGCTAAGCAACTTTAAAACTCCACGTGAATAAATTCCTGACATGTCACCATGTAAGCATTCAGTAAAAACACTACTTATCACTAAAATGCAGGCCTTCAACTAGACCTAAGAGGTGCACCTCAGAGAATGATGTTATCCATAAGGAAGCATTTGCTCATTCAGTCCTCCGGGACTGTAGCTTTCAGGCAGCTCCCTACGTGAGAGAATGGAATGAATTGTGTAAAACGTGTACCAGTGACGTGCGGTACCTTCCGTGCTGGGTGAGGCATTCCCTCCCACAATCACACGCAGTACCCGTCCCTCCCGGGAATGGCCGATACGGCTGTGCACGTTGCACGGATCTGTATGGCTCGACTTTACGCTGTGTGAACAAGGCCTGATACTAGTTGAGGCTCTGCCTCACCTGCCTCCCCTGACCGCATGTCCCTGATGTGTACATACTGCTATGAACAAGGGGGGTTTTTGTTTCCATTTTTATCCTTATTTCTATTCTTCTCTGTTTTTTTCCTCTTGTCTTTCGACTTGTCTTGACTTTTGCAGAGATGTTCTCTGGAGAGGATATGGAGTGTGTTCATCTCTGCATGTTCTTATTTGCTACTGTTTTTTTAGATATTATGAATATGTTATTTGGGTTTTTGTCTTATACAATTTATTACAACTTTTTGGAAATGAGAGAATGGAATGAATTGTGTGAAACGTGTACCATGTGCCATGAACAAGGTACTTTGTGGAGTAGGCTACAAACGTATCATGTTTAGCTGGGTATTCTATTGTTTAGGTTGAATATGAAATCTAGTAGACAAATCCCACTCCTGAAGGCAGTCTTTGGACCATCCTGAGAAGAGACATTTTTCCAAAATAGCAGGTTAACCATGTATATCTAAAGAACTATAAAAGTTGATATCAAATGAATATAACAGCATTGCAGAATTATGTATGAAGAGTTGTATCCTTTTAATTGCCAAATACTGAATGTTACGTTAAAGTGAACCTGTGCTTTGCCAATTCAGGCAAGCCAGTTATTTATATTTACATTACTTTTTTCCCCTGCCATACTATTTGGTTTATAGGGGCAAGGACAGGAAGCCCTGTGCAAACTCAGGAGTTTGTCCCCACACTCATGTGACAGCGCTATATGCCTGAGCAACCAATTACCAACATTGTCATATAGGAGTAAGGAACATGGGGCAATGAGGGACATGATCACAAATATCCAGAAATATTCACTCCCAGGAGTTGAAGAAATATGTGGTGTTGGTAAATCCACTATTACAGTGAACTTGTTCCTTTGCCCTGCAAGGACAAAGCACAGGATTGTTTTAAAGGAAAAAATGCTTTTTTTAAAATTAATTTTATGTTTTAATGTTTTCAGATGTATAAACTATAATTTGCAATACTTGTACAAAATTGTTATTGTTAAAGTATACTTTGCTGGCAGTCAGTACCCTCCTGTTCTCAGCATGCCACTATTTAGGCCAGGTATTTCTCTTTTCAGTAAAGGTACCAGTGGGGGAGTGAGGTTGAGTTCACACCTGGGCGTTTTTCAGTGCTGATAGAAGCGCTGAAAAACGCTCAGCAAGTGAAATCCCATAATTTCCTATGGGCATGGTTCCCACCTGGGAGTATTTCAGCGCATGGAAACGCGCTGAAAAAGCCCTACGCCCAAACAAGTACATGAGCTTCTTTGGGGCGTATTTCCGCACGTATCCATTGGTATTCCCGAGTGTGGCTCGGGGTTAACAAAGCGGTAATCCCAAGCCACACTCGGGAATACAGCATAGGTCTTACCTTGTCCGCGATCCCCGCTGTGTCCTCCGGCCGCTGCCGTCTTCCGGGTTCCGTCCCTTGCGAGCGTCCGCATTGCAGGGGGGCGGAACCAGCGGGAAGTTTGAAAGTTAGAAAAAAAAAGACCAGAAAAAAATGTAGAGAAAATAAAGGAAAAAAAACAATCACACCGCCAGGGAGGTATAAAAAGGTGCGTCGAACGCGCGTTTCACTGAACTAAAAAACGCGTTAAAAACGAGCTGCAAAAACGCGCCCAGCCTGAAGGAAAGGTCAATACAGGTAAGTTAGGTAGTGGCAGCTTTGAAGTAAACCTGTTGCTTTGCTCAAAGAACATTGAAACATTTTCAGTGTAAATAACTGTTACTATGTAGCATACCTCCCCATGTTTCCACATGCACTTTTTTAACCACTGTGTATGTAAAAAGTAAAAGTGACATTGTCCACTGAGAAATTGTGTTTGCCCAAGCTGAACCTCTGAAAAACAAATATACAATTAACTTATTACAATGGTAATACATACAGTATTTTCATATAAAACACATTTGATTAAAACGGACCTTGCTGTAAAATGTAATGTCTACTTATACTGTCTGGGTCCCTTCACCCCTTTAATAATCACCTAATGTTAGAAGTTCCAAAATGTTACTGTAAAGAAAAAGTTAGATTTATACTTACTTTACCCCCAACTAATGCCCACGGTGCCTAAGGGCACATCACATTTCTTGCCGCTAGATCCTGAAGAATACAGAGCAAAACTCACTAGAAGACACATTTGCAATGGACTTCAGTGTCTTGTCTGCTCTGCACTCGCTAGCAATCCTCCCAGAAGGGTGGTGATGGCACACCTAGCGTTGTGGAAGACGGGGGTAAGGGAAGTATAAATATAACTTTTTTTCTTTACAAGTACATTTTGGAACTACTAAAAGAGTAATTTCAAGATTATTAAAGGAGGAAGGTGCCCGAATATTACAAATACGCACATGAAAAAAAGAAGACACAATTTTCTCCTAAATAATTTAAAACTGACATAAGTAATTGTCATCCATCATTGTTTATTTAATATTCAATAAAAAAATCTGACTTTGATTTTGATTCAACAGAATAATACAAAAATTAAAACAAATAGAAATGGCATGGACAAAAATGATGGTACCTTTAACCTAATATTTTGTTTATTTTGTTGCACAACCTTTAGAGGTAATCACTGCAAACAAGTGATTTCTGTAGCTCTCAATGAGACTTCTGCAGCTGCCAACAGGTAGTTAGGCCCACTCTACTTGAGCAAACTGTTCTAGTTGTCTCAGGTTAAAGGGTGTGGTTTCCATAAGGGTACCCGGGTGACACCAAAATGATTGACAGTCATTGACCGAGAGCCCGACAGTTGCAGGAAAGAGGAGGGGACCCGGCGGCATACCTTATACCACTGGGTGAACGTCCCCTCCTCTCTCTGTCGGCATCCACCACAAAGATGGCTGCCGGCAGGTATCACCAACATGACCGTGCATGCGCTGTGACATCATCGCGCACGTGCGTGGTGATGTCACGCGCATGTGCGATGTCACCCAGTATCCGCTCCAGGTGACACCCAGCCTCTGGACGCCCCTGGTTCTTAGCCATTTTTAGGTGCTTTTAGCTATATTGTTTAGGTAATTTTCCTGAAGGAAGACCCATGACCTGCTACTAAGACTATCAGACACTGGGTAGGACATTTTGAACCAGAAATCCTTGATTAGTTTACATTTAGTTGTGCTCAGAGATTCAAGACAACCCATGGCAATTGCAGAAATGCACTCCCAAAAAAGTAATTAAGCCTCCTCTATGTTTCATAGTAGGTACAGTGTTCTTTCCTTTGAAAGTTTTTGTTTTTTTTTCAACTGTGAACATAGAGTTGATGTGACGTGTCAAAAAGCTTAATTTATGTTTTACCTATCTAAAGGTCATTCTCCCAGAAGTATTGTGGATAGTCAGTATGCATTTTAGAAAATTCCAGGCAGGCTTTTTTGTTTTTTTCTTGTCCCACTGGGTCTCCTTCCTTTGAGACCACTGTTCTCACTGTGCACCATCCGTCGCATTTTGAGCAATCGGACACTAATGTACCTTGACCTTGGAGTTCATCTTGTATCTCTTTGTAATTTTCCTTGGCTTTTTGTTTATAATTTACACTATCCTTCTGTTCAATCTGTGGTCAATTAATCTCTTGTAGCCATGCTCAGACAGGATGGCCACACTCCAGTGGATCCTAAACCTCCTAATAATATTTGCAATTGTAGTCACGGGAACATCAATCTGCTTGGAGATCGTCTTATAGCTTTTACCTTTGACAGACTGGTCTATAATGTTCTTTCTGATCTCCTCAGACAACTCTCTCCTTTGCTATCTCTAGTTCATGTTCAGTGTAGTGCAAGGATACCAAACAGCAGAGTGACTACTTTTCTCCATTGAAATTTGCTGAATAACTGATTACAAGATTGAAGGCATGTGTGATACTAATTGCAAAAAACAGTTGGAAATATCACTATCATCAAAGTTATTTATATTCTATTGTAAAGGTACCAACAAATCAATCCAGGCCATCTTAGAATATCTTTGTAGAATAAGGAATGTCACACTTTGTTTACTTTTCTCTATGACATACCAGAGGAATTCAGGTATACATGAGAAAACTGCTTTTAGTTTCATTATTTTTCAGAAGGAATGATGCATTGTTCCAATGCGCTGTAATGGTACCAACAAAATTGTCCACATCTGTACCTAACTATCCATCCATCAATCTATTGTTTGCATTACTTCTGTACATTTGTGAAATGGTTGAGAATTTTTTGTGTGAAATTATTGCCTTTAGGTTGTTCTCAGTATTACAATGAAACTTAAATAAATGTGACATACTTACTCTATGCCCATCTTAAGGACGTATATGAAAATAGCATTGACAACAGCATTGATGATGTTTGCTGCTACACCAGTGAAGAACTGGGGCCATATTATACCCTAGAAAAGGAAAACATATGTTTATACATGAAAATAAATTACATTTTATATAAAAATCAGGGTAGGTTTTTATAAAGTCATAACGTGCTATGTGTAGAACAATGATACTAGCTGCAGATTGTAAGACCAGAGATTGCTTGGCCATTGCTATATACACCACCTATCTTCCCTGAAAATAGCCGCATAGTTTATATTGTAAGATAAGCTCCATTACATCTTCCTATGCAATTATATGAGCACTTATATGTTTATTAGTAAGGCAAAGCACATATAAACCATAGCAATTACCTCATCGTTTAATCCTAATTAAGTTCCAGTGCATTTTAAAACAGTTTTACATGTCTTGTGCCATGTTTTTGCATTGTTAATTAAGAGAAAATGCCTGCAACTGAAACAAATATGTTACTATGGAATGTTGATTCAACTTTTACCTGATTGTATAAATATTTTGATTGCAGCTGCTGAAGAAATACTGCCTGTGATGGAAAAAAAGCATATCAAGTACAATTTAGCACATACAAAGTATAGAACAGAGAGCAGGATTTTTAAATCAGATCATTTTTGTTGTATTTTTGTTTTAACAAAACAACACACAATACAAATACAAGCATAAAAACAAGAATCACAACAAAAAGGTGAAATATCCATAGCCTACATCCCAGAGTTTCCAAAAGTGATATAAAGCTGTGAACAATCCATTATTTTAGATCAGATCAAAATACCTATGATAAGGATTGGTACAAAGGAAAATAACCATATATACAAATGTGTATATGCACCTATATAACCTGGTACGTACTGACAGTATACAGATGGTGCTGCAATATGAGATGAACAAAGATCATATTCAAGAAGGAGCATACTGGAGGGTAATATGTAATTTAAGGAATACATCCAAAGGATGTAGAATGGATGTAATTTGTACAATAAAAAGCTCATAGAGGAATTTATGCAAGAAAATTGAGTGCCTACAGCAGATGAATTCAGGAAATCTGGAACAGATGGGTTATATGCTGCTGTCTACAGGAGGTTTGGACACTGGCAAACAGAAAGAAACATTGAAGTCTAGCCCCTGTTTCTAACCGTCATGCCTTTTGTGAATGAGCATTAAAAAAGCCCATTAAACACAGAGGGTGGAACCTGTGTCTCTCAATGGACTTTGAGAAAAAGGTTTTACAGTAAGTACAAAAATCTTTGTGCTCCACAAGGTAAGGTCAGTGGGTCTAAGGATGACAAAAGGTCCAATTGTTGAACGATCCTAGGCATCAGGGAAGAAGGATGCAAGAAGGAGCAGAAGAAGGAGCATGTCTAGGACAGCCATCTCATGGGAGATAACCTAGCATAAAGCTCCAAGGCGGACCTAATGAGTTGGAGACAACTCAAATAGAGAGATTGAGAAACAAAGGGGAAAAGAGGGTGCGAGAAGTATCTTACACCAACACAGTTAGGAGTGGGAAGACACCCACCCCATATTAGTGGAGCAACACCAGAAAAACAATGTGGCGAACAGAGAAACCCCCTACAGTACCTACCTACCTGATTAAGGACATGGGAATTCAAGTGTCTGGACTTGTACTATCTGACATGGGAAGTTTCCGGATGCATCATGAGCTCTCTGCTGAAAAGGGAACACCAAGCCCTCCAGCAATGATAAAGCATGCCCAAGTGCACAAATTCATCTCTAGAATGGAGATGACAGGATGGAGAGGCCCAGAGGGAAAAAAAAACAGTACCTCTAAAGAGAACCATATGGTTGAGAGTAACATCCTCAATGTCATCCAGCATTGGAACCGGATCAGTAGCCTTGTTATAGGGAGAACTCCCAAGCCTTCCTATAGGTGCAGGTGTAAAGTACCAAAGCAATGTCAGAGTCCATGTCAAAGGACCTACTCCTAGCAAGACACCCAAAGAGGCAAGCAACTGTTCTGAGGAAACAGTTCTGATTCTCAGATATGAGGACAGTCCTGAGACAGGAGTCCTCCTATGATGGAGGGAAAACAACACCCCATAGGCCCTTAAAAGGTTGAGGGTGCATTGTGCTTCAGCAAGGATCTAAGCTGATTAGCCTCTAGCTTGTAAGTCTCTAAACAGTGGAAACTTGCAGGAGTTGGGCCCTTCTAAGAATTCTGGCTATCAGAGTCCAGAAAATGAACTCTTAGGTTGCCTAAGCATCGGTGTTGCCAAGAAAAAAGGCATTGGGATGGACATAAGGTTCAGTGCTATCAGCAACTAAAAGTGCCATTAAAGGATACTTAGTGGATACTTAGTGGTCAGGACTCTAACTCAGAAGGTCCCTCTGGGAGAGAGAATACTGAAAATCAGCATTAGCCAGGGATAAAGAATTTCCCAGAGGAACACCTCCCAACGACAACGGTGGCCATACACTGTTCTATTTTTTAATTTTTTTTTAATGAAAGAAAAATAGTCAGAAAATCCCCTCTGCAACTTCTGCCACTGATAGGGCGAGGGGATGATGGTCACAGTTTTAATTGGGCTTGATTAATCTCTAATTGTAAGCACTCCAGAATGAGGAAAAGAAACACATAGAGCAAATTATATGCTTATATGCACAACAATGAAATCATTAAAACGTGTACAGATCCATGCAATTTACATCTTACACTTACATTATTTAGTTATTGAAAATATGACAGAGGGAAATTGAACAAATTTACAGCAACAGAAAGTAACCAATGGCTCCCACTCACCCCTGAGGGGCAGCTATCTGCTCTCCATGTGCATAGCTGTGTTTTATGCTTCATATTCAGGCTAGGATTGCTATACTTAGGCGAATGCCTGTGCCCTCTACTGGCAACAATTAGGCAGTGCAGGGAGCCAGGCTGCCTTTTGTATTACCAAGCAGCAAGTACAAGCACAATATCAATTATTATTATTATACAGGCTTTATATAGCACCAACAGTTTGCACAGCACTTTGCAATGTAAGGAAGACATTACAATCACAATACAATTCAAGACAAGATGGTAAGGAGGGCCAATATCAATGCCTTAGCTAAATGTTTCTGTCTTTCCTTGTGGATTTTGAAACATGTTTGAATCCTTGTTCTGGTCACTGGTCCTGATCAATTTTCTATCTGCAATCTGCCTTGATCTCCTGCATGAAGAGCATCTGCCTAGACCTACGCCTGTCATTCAGCCTTGCCTGAACACTGCCTGTCCTGAACCAGTTTATGCTCTTGCCTGACAATCACTTCAAAACTCTTTGCAGCTATACTCACAAATACAAATTACTCTTTCGACTTTGCACCTCTTGGCAGCCCACCCTACCACAGGTAAGGTAACACAGGTGAAGTTTGAAAAAAAACACACAAAAAAACAACTACAACATTATTATCTAAAACAATTAGAAAACGTGAATATAGAAATATGTCCCAGATACAAGAGACAGGATCTATTACAAGAACAAAACTTACAGGTAGACCAGGTAAAAAGATCATCACATACTTTTGCGTTAGCCTAAAAAAAATAATATGCATATGTGTTTTATAAACTTCAATTCATATTGTCAACTTATATGGCTGTTGTTGCTCTTCTCGCCTGTTCAGCGTGTTGCACTGTGCAAAACAAATGTAAGAAAGGAAGAACTACTTAAAATGCACCTCTAATTTTCTGTTTGACAAATTCTACAGAAACATTGCAAGTAGAATTTCAAAACTGACATCAAGAACTGACATAAATGCATGAAGGTTGTGCTACAGAGAATGTGGCAAGCAGAGTGATTTTCATCTTATTACAGCAGGAGGAGTGTTGAAAACTCAGACAGAGAGACCATGCACCAAAAGTGTATCCGCATTCACTCATTATCTATTGTTTACACAGAGCCTATTTTTTTTGTCATTGTGGAGTTAGGTGTCATTCAAACAGGGTGTGTTGCTCCATACAGCGTGAAGGGGTGGTTGTTGATGCGTCTGGAACTGCTGGAAGAAGCATGTGGGCAGCTCATGTAACTTCAAGGAGATACCGGAGCTGTGCACCCTCACACGCTGTTTTCCTGCAGCTCCAAATTTTGACATCTGCACACAGAAAATCTAGGGCAGTGGTGGCGAACCTATGGCACGCGTGCCAGGGAGGGCACACGAGGCCCTTTCTGCTGGCACGCGAGCCCACGTTCAGGCCCCAAAACATTAAGGCAGCCGACATGTCGAAGGCGGAGAAATCGGCAGGCGAGCGAGTAGGAGGAGGAGAAGGGGGACGAGCGGCAGGGGGTAGAGATGGAGGACGGGAGGAGACTGGGGACTGAGCGGCATGAGACAGGGCCGAAGACAGAGGTAGATTTAGGCGGAGATGAAAGAGGACGTGAGGAGACAGAAAGAGGGAGATGGGGCGGAGATGGAGGATGGGAGGAGACGGGGGACTGAGCGGCATGAGACAGGGCCGAAGACACAGGTAGATTTAGGCGGAGATGAAAGAGGACGTGAGGAGACGAGGACGGAGCGGCATGAGACAGGGGGAGATGGAAGAGGCCTGTGAAGACCGAGGAGGCAAAGGCAGAGACCACGATGGAGGAGGCGTCGCCAAGGGGCCAGTCGAGCGGCGAAGCTGAGGCGATTGGGCGCCAAAGCAGCACTGAAGGCTGGGCTTCCCGTGTAAGGTAGGAGCACTGTACTGGCAAGGCCCACCATAGATTATGCACAGCCCACCAAAGAGTCACAGGGGGGCTGTGCAATACCTTTTGGTGGGCTTTGAGGGATCCATGGGGGGCTCTGCAGCCTGCAAAGCCCACCACAGATCCTGCACAGCCCCCCTGAGATCTGGCAGACTGCAGGGTCTCAGGGGGTCTCTGGAGGATCTGTGGGGGGCTTTTCAGAACTTGTGGGGGGTTTTCAGGATCTGTGGGGGGCTTTGCAGCCTGCAAGCCCCCCACAGATCCTGCACAGCCCCCCTGAGATCCGACAGACTGCAGTTTTGCCTTGCCTAGGGCAGCCCCAAACCAGAATACACCACTGCGTTCAGGGACCTCCAATTGACATAGATCCGACTGACCCGGATCGCCTTGGTATGCGATCCGGGCCAGTCACAATTAGGCAGAGGCGGCCAATAAACAGGTAGGTTAGACGGCTGCTTCCTCCTCGCTAGGACCCCGGGAGGCCCCCGCAAGTGGCCGTCTAATCTGCCTGTTTAGAGGTCACCACAGCTGCCTGATTGTGACGGCCCGACTACAGAGGCGATCCGGGACGTTCGGTTCCCCCGTGAGAGCCGTACAAGGCCGTAAGGCAGTGATGTTGAAGGTTTCTTAAACCCGAGCGCCCAAACTGCAATACTAAACTTATTTTCAGCACTGGCACTTTGAGATAAATAAATTGATTTTGCGTCGCAGTTTGGGCACTCGGGTTCAAAAAGGTTCGCCATCACTGATCTAGGGCCTCAGATGCACTTGATGATCCATGTCTATATACAGTATAGTGTGTGCCTGTCATACTCGGAGCTGCCGCAAGCAGCGTGTGGGGGCGCACAGCTCCTGCGTCTGCATAGAATTACATGAATTACCCACACGCTTCTCCACGCAGCTCGGGCACATGAAAAATGGGCTCTTAATGCTATACGGAGCAACACGCCCCATGCAAATGAAGCCTTCGAATAAATACTTTTTGATTTCCCTTAAGGGCTCTGGAATGCACTGTATCGACTTCTGTCGGCTCCCTGCATTCAGGGGTGGGAGGAGGTGTGACGGTGCATTGAAGTCAATAGTGCATTCCGCATTTTTGCTGATCGCACTGGAGCGGTACACACGCAGTAATGTGCCACGCGTTTGGTTGCGGGCGATTGTACTGTGAATGCAGGGAGCTGGCCGGCATGCGATACAGTGCGTTCCAGGGCCTGACTGCTCTGGAACGCACTGTGTGTGGTGTGAACCAGCCCTAAAGCAGATCTTCTGTTTATTTATTTAATTTGAAACAACTTGCCCAGCTGCTTCAAAAATAAAAAATGCAGCTATTGCTGCAATACTCGCCTTGTCTCCAGTGTTGTCCAGGGAGAAACTCCCCTCTGCCTTCGGTCCTCTTCTGAACTGAATAACAGCCAGCTTCATTCAGCCCACTTCCTGTGAGCCCAAGCAGTCATGGAGACACCCCCTTCGGATGCCTTAACACATCAACCTCGGCTCCCAGTACAATAGCCCAGAGAACTGCGATGACATCTTTACATCAGCACTTCTCTGCAGTATTGAAGACCTCCCACCACCACCACCACCACCACCACAGGGAGAAGAGGATCCTGGGGAGACTTTAAGATGTCTCATGACCTGCCACAAGACCCCAAGAAAAAATGCATTATGAAAAAAAAAAAAAAGCTGCATTGAGTATATGAGTGGGGAGTGGCTAAAAAAACTAGAGTTCAGCTTTAGCTCAGAACATTTATTACAGATATTTATGCATGACCTTACATACAGAACATCCACATCACATCAGTCCCCACCCTAAAGGAGCTTACAACCTAAGGTCCCTATGTCACATGCATACAAGGCCAATTTAGACAGGAGCCAATAAACCTTCCAGCATGTCTTTGGGGTGTGAGAGGAAACCCACACAAGTACAGGCAGAACATGCAAACTCCAAGCAGTTAGTGTCCTGATCAGGATTCAAACTGGGGACCTCAGTGCTTCAATGTAGAGGTCCTAGCAACTGTGCCACTGTGCCTACATGTGTTATTGCTTCATACATTTTGTTTAATGAAGGTGAAACAAAAGAAGGCAATACCACTAACCTGGCGATATCTGGGTTCTGTTTGCACAGTAGAAGGATCTGCTCCGTATTAATTAATATTGCCCAGCAAGGGAAGCAGCAAAGCATTAGAATAAGAATTCCTCTCTGCAGGATTGTTCCCACTCGCTTCAAATTCTTGCTGCCATATGTCTGAAAGAATGAGTATACACATACACAGATATGATAATCGTAGTTAATATTATGCTAGCTAATTATTGGAAGTTGATATAAACTCCAGGCAAACAGCGAAATACACATTTTCAATAGAAGGGAGAGGACTGTTGTCAGGGCAACACTACCAACTCCTAGTAGTGATCTTATAGATTTCAAGGTTACTCAGTTTACTGAGAAGGGAAGTCCTTTGAAATGTGTCAATTTTGCTAGATTTGCTAAAAAAAATTAAAAGGCCAGTGATATGAAGAAATAGAGAATCCCATTTGTGTGTCAGTTTCATAGATTTTGTCAACAGATTTTCTTGTGCATTGTCAGGACATAGGGACAGTGCCCTTAAAGGGTATTTCCACATGTGTAGCTAAACTGGGATAACACCTATGTTATATTTGTTACATATTTATCATTCACATAGCATCAGTTAAAAATAAATAAAATGCTTAAAACATGTTCAATTCTCAAAGAAACATTTTTCTTTTTGCTGAATCTCCCTCTGGAATTCAAGGGGAATGGGGAGAGGAGTGTTTATTTTAGTGTTTCAATGTTTTTTTTTCATCATTACACCTGTCTGTACTGTGTTGGCAGATCACATTATCAGTTGTCAACTGGATTTGAACATCCCTTGTCCAAACAAAGGCTTCTTTTATCGCAATAAGGGGAGTCAGAGTTTCCAGTTACTGACATTAAGAGAGGAGCTTGCCAAGGCCTGCAAAATAGAGATATCTGAAAGCTAAAAAATATCTTTTTAAAAATGTATAGTTATGCTGTGTGAATAGGAACACATAATAAACATACGGTATATTGGGGTCTTCTCAATTTTGCCTGCGGAAGTGGAAAAAACCTTCAAATTTGTGATAATAGATCAGGTTCCTAGACTGAGACAAAGTAACAGTTGTATTACTGCTTTGACGTTTTTTGCATTCATAAATTAAATACTTTATCACTGCATGTTCTTAACCATTTGATTTATACTTATTTCTCTGAAATGTGTTTATTTTGTTTTCATTTCAGATAATTCTTTGGACTAAGGCCAAGGGACCTTCCTCTAGAGACGCTCACTGCGTGACTGTGGAGACTGACTCCAGATTAACTGAACTTTTATGAGTAGTCACACCTGCTGCATAATGTTATAACTTTTTGTCTATGTTACATTGTCCTATGCATTTTTTCTTTCTTTTTGTGTCATATCTGGTTCCATGCATTATGTGCTGTGTAAATGTATAGTGTGATTAGCTTGTGGCAGGGCAGGGATGCCTGAAACATTACAGGACTATATTGGCAGCTTATAAGCAACAAATTACACTTTCTGCACTGCAGCCCCCTTTTTCTTATGTATATTTTGGTGATTTTTTGAACTTAGTAATAAAAATAAGAAGAAGAAGAAGAATATGAATAGGGAAGGAGTTGAGAGGAGCCCTAAGGCTCTTTATATTTCAGCAAGCATTAATTCATAGCTCTTTCTTTTGTTTGGTGGTCTGTATAGTTGATAACAGATTTTGCATATGAAGCTGATGATGCTGTGCATTCTAACAGTAATTTTTACTAAAATAATCACATGACTCAAAGACCTTGCACACGAGAGCATTCTAATTCAGGTGTGCCTAGGGCAGCATGGTGCCTAAATATAGCATTGATGAAGAGACAGCTAGATCCACAAATTAATGAATGGACTGGGCTATGTAACCATGGTATTCCAATATACATATCTGGCTTAGGGGTGAGAAAGTGTATTCTGAAATAAGGTGCATATATAAAAAATACCTGGGACATCAGTGTATCACATCCGGCACTTAATCCAGAGCCGATTGATATGCCAGTTATATTTATGACCTATGTGGAAAAGAGATAGATTGGGGAACCATTTAGTCTTACAATGAAGTGGCATTGTAAAAATTGATTACACAAATATAATGGGGTTCTTACAAAAAAAAACCATACTGCACTATTGTAATCATATTGCATAATAATACAATGCAATTCTCTTCTTCTCAAAGAAGTGTGGTCATAATCCCTGGGTCTGAGTAGCCAATGTAGCCCCCGACTCCTACATGTAGAGTGCAACTATGTAAGCGTGTACTCTGATGAATGCTACAAATGCTCCATAGGAGGTATATACAGTATAGAGAAATAGAAATTTCATATAAAAGACTATTTCTAAAAATATGGATACATTTGTGCGCCTTGCAGATTTTAGCAATGATGCAATTTCTAAAAAGCCCTGTCCCATTTTTCCTGATGTGTTACTAGAGGTACAGACAGATTTGCTGCCATGATATACAGTATATTGGGGTAGTGAATTAAAATTCAAGTGGGTCCGGTGAATAAAATGTTAATTGAGCCAAGGTCCGAATCGGGGTCTGGACAGAACGGTCACTCAGTCCCGTGTCCGTACCACAGTCCGCCATTTAGGCTACGTTTACTCCAGTAGCTGCACTGCAATGCACAGCTGCTGGTGTGTGTTCCCAGGCACAGTGCTAAAGCTCTGATCGTGGTGCATCGCACTGTTTATTTTTTTAGAATAGTTTTGTTAGAAATTCCACACACCCCTCCCCCCCATTTACATACATGTGCATGCCTTATGGGAACATGTTCATTGGAATCAGATGTGAGGCAGTGTTGGTTTTAAATGTTTTGTATATTTTATTTTATTTTTTTACTTTTTCTATAACTTTTTTCTTTTTTACTTAACTTATGCCATCACAAAGGGGAGAACAAGTCCCTATGTGATAGCATTTGGAGGTGACAGGTTTTCTTTATGGAGACCTCCGGGATCTGTTAGACCTCTGATATCTTTCCTTCACTTCAATACACATCATCAAGGAATGTGCTTGACAATCTGTATACCTGGCACTTCAGTTTCTCACAGCTGAATCATAAATCACTGACAGCAGTGCTTCATGCTTTTGTGATCGCAGAGCAGATCGGGGAATGGATGTTCCCCAGTCGGCTCCTGCTCTCCATCCTGACATTTTGTGCCTTGGTCCTGGGCCCGCACAGAGGAGCAAGGGATTTGAAACCACTAGGTGAGGGGGGGGCATGATCATGGCTAATACAAGTGATCTGGGTGGCTGTAAAGCCACCCAGATCACTTTTATTTGTAGAAGCCGGCCCTACTTGACATTATTGGTTGCTAGGAATCCAGCAGTCCTAACAGCCAAAGACTGAAACAGAGGGTCGGGGCCTGCACCGTGTTATGGCCTTGGAGGCCGTCATATCCACTGTCAGCCAGCCATAACCCAGCGCAGGTTGGCAATCATGGTCCAGACAGAACCGCTGCTAGGTCCATGTCCAGACCGCAGTCTGCCATTTAGTGATCCCTGATATACATAAACAGAAAATAAAACCTAGAGATTCTACTGATATACCAGTATTATTCAATACACACATATACAAGATCTACCTAAAATTACTATACATAATGACTGAGACAATGAAGTTGCTTGTAATATCATTATGTGAGCCGATCACTGACTTTCTGATCCTCTCCCTGCAGAGAGCGGAGACTGTTCCCCACGGGGATTCCCCTCTCCGTTTCTCCAGCGATGACTGGAGGAATGGATGGGGCAGGCAGCTGTCAATCAGCCTCCGGGGTGGATCTCGACAGTATTGTTAGGATCCGCCCCGACTGTGGCACACCTCTGCGCTCTCAGCATATAGCAATAGCCCGCTATATGATGAGTTTTGGGTCACATGAAACATTAGTATATGTCCTCTTGTGACCCTGAATAGAACTATGGCGACAAAAGGTTACCCCATAGTTCTCTTTTAAACAAAAAAAAAGACGAATGGTAAAAAAAAACTCCCAAACAAGTAAATACTTACAGCTGAAGCAAGCATAGCAGAATCCAATTCAATTTTTCCTAAATGGCCACAGAACACAGAACTCACAATCAATACAAGCAGTACCATCATTTGAGATAAGAACTAAAAGAAAATGAAAATGTCAATCAATCATATTTGCTTTAATAAATGCATATTATACAACTGTCAGTCACCCCTCCCTGCAGGGATTACCCCCTCCCCTTTCCGTTCTTCCAGCGCTCAATGGAGGGATAGACAGGGGTGGAGGTACTTACAAAACTAAGTCTTGCACTGCGGCTATCCCGGCATTGCAAGGGTTAAGATCTTGCTTTAGTCTAGGGGCTCAAGGGGCTCGCTTAAGTCTCGAGTCTAGGGGCTCAAATAAAGAAGATATACTGAAATCCCAGTCAGAGTGTTGCCATAAGAGACAGGCAATTAGTGTTTTCCAAAGGAGGCCAGCATTGGCAAACCCCTATTTCTTTAATGTAAAGTTTTTTTAAAATAACAAATCTAGATATTTGTTTTGTATACATGTGCATATATTTTTTTCTTATATTCTTAGATTTTGTATATAATTATATACCCACACCTCAAACACAATTAGGCGCTGGCTCTCCAAGCAGTCCGTTCATTGCTCAACATGCAGCCATTGTAGAGAAAAGGGAAGCCTCACTTTAGGATAGAAGCCATTACAGGTGTTTAATGGTCAGTCTGGTGCTAATGCAAAATCTCCTGTACCTCTGCCCTTTTACACATTTTACCCAGTAATGAACTGAGCTAAATGCATTAGTGACAGACAATTCAGGGGATTTTGCCATTTGCACAGATCAATATACATCTATACATGATTTTATCTTGGAGTGAAGCTTTTATATCATCTGCAGTGTTTGTATGTGAGTGCATAGGTATTTAGTGATGGTAAAAAATACTCCCAATTCCACAGCCATTTTCATTTTAGTTGCATTTAGTGACATCGCTGTCCTAAAAAAAAGGTCCATATTTTTAGTAATAACCAAAATAGCCAATAAAAACCAACATCAAAGTGGTCAACCCTATCAATGTGTATTAAAGAAAAAATCTTTCTATGCATAGTTTTATTAAGTAGCGATCGTGATTGTAACTGTATCAATGCACTTAACATAGTTAAAAGAGAACTATGTGGTAACCTTTTTATCCCATAGTTCTATTTAGGGTCAGGGGAGGACATATACTAACATCCTCCCGTGACCCAAAGTTCAGTATATAGCAGGCTATTGCCCACTATATGCTCAGAGCGCCTCAGCCGGGACGGATCCCGACATTACTGTCGAGATCCACCCAGCTGGCTGATTGACAGAGAGCTCGGCCTATCTAGAGGCAGAGCCAACTGTGCTCCCCGCATGGATTCCCCCTTCCCCTCTCCGATTCTCCAGGAAACGGTATGTGTTCACTCACTTCCGATTAATAGAGCCAACCTGTGACAGTTTCAATGTCACAGGTTGGCTCTAACTGTGGGAATGAGTGTAATTCACTCACCTCATAGTTCTCCTTTAAGTACTAGTGTTGTTATAAGTGTGCTTGTAATAAGAAAATACCCTTTTTTAAATTTTTACTACCAGTTAATTTTTCAGGACAAGATTTTGGGGTATACACCTCCTTCTTTAAGTCAAAGTAGTGCTTATACACAGATGTTTAGCAAAATGCCAACATGAATTCAACAATTAAATGACCATCTTTGGACGTTAGAAAGAAGAATGAAAAGTGTATCAGTTTGTTCACACTGAAATTAGGTGGCTTATGTTATGAGTCATTCGATGACCAGCAGATACTTGGTCACTAAAGGAAGAACTCATACACACATACAGTGTATAATACCCCTGCAAATATGGTGCAAATATGGGAGAGCAAGCAAGTGAAAATGTGTAAGACATTTCAATAATTATTTTCAGGGAAACTTAAAGGAGTTATAAAGTTCAAGCCAGAGGCGGCTCTCTAATTAGGCATATTAGGCGGTCGCATTAGGCCTTGCGCTCACGAGGGCCTACGGAGAGCAAGCAAGTGAAAATGTGTAAGACATTTCAATAATAATTTTCAGGGAAACTTAAAGGAGTTGTAAAGTCCAAGCATATACTATCTTGTTATAACATCAGAATTGTAATAGGAATACATACTAGAGTTATTTCAACAACTTCCTGGATTCCTAGTGTGCTTTGGGTCTCTTTCCCTGCTGCTTGAGGTGATATAATCTCGATTACTCAAGACTACATAGCCCACGTGCATTGCCCCAACCAAGCAATGATAATGTTACATTGTTCAGACAAGTGACAAAAGAAAGTGCATATTCATAGGGCTTGGTGAAACCGTGTCACTCCATTGATGAAGTACACACTGTGGGCATCTTCAATACATTTACAAACTTCTAGATTTATAAAGTTAATAGGACTAGGAACTTATGCAAATTCATTATAGAAATACATATTTTGTTTTATGTTTTGACTATAGATACCCTTTAACTCTAACAGCTGTTTTTTTTTAAAGTTCACAAACTGCAGTTACAAAAAGTCCTTTCTGAATACTATCATTGTTTAGTGAACATGCCTTCCCAAAGAAGTGCTACCTGACCACTCTGTCAACAACCTGGTGCATTGGTTAGTTAGTCTCATTAATACCTAGCTGGACTTGTTAGCTGTGCAGACAATTACGTTGGGGTAACCCACTCTGAGTATGCATACCACCTATAAGCAAAGTGGTTTCCCTTTAACAGTGTTTTTGCCTTTAACAATTTAATAATGATTATTGATGCCTTTTGTACATTCACAATTGAACCGACACGGAGTGCATTTATCGTGCAGTAGTATCCTTGGTGATCAATCATATTTAGAATATGGCACCATTAAAAATCTGAATGCTACATTCTGTAAAAATACATCAATTGAAGTACATTCTTACCACAGGTATGGCCAACTCAAGCTGCTTCTTTGCCTCATAACAGAATCCATAAGGTACTAGTTGACGAAACAGTCTCTTAATTCCATGAGGTTTGCCTGACAGAGGAGAGGTCTCTTCGGCTTCCGCCTTGTGTCTTGTCATAGATTTTGGAGAATCTCGATGGTAGATGTAAAGTTTTGTAGGACTCCTACACTAGAGACTGTAGTGAAAGGTCCACTGTGCATAATGGCACTGAGCATTTGATCAACGTTTAGCCTGAAGTGTCAAGAGGTTTCACAATGTGCACTTAAAGGGAGGAGGACATACTGTAATCTGATCATCCATATCAATTATCTCTCAAAAAAAATAGAAAGGAATTCATAGGAAACAATGTTTGTTATTTAGGAATGTCTTCATTGCTAAAAAAAATTATTATTTTAGTCAATGGCAATTCTTGAACTATTTTTACAAGCTACAGCAGTTATTTCACAAGCAAAACAGTATATATAAATATTTGCATAGTGTCTTAAAAACAAACTTGGAACATTTACATGACAAGGAAGTCATAGTTTTCTATTCTAAATAAGCATAGCATTTTAGTAAATGCGTGCAACAAACTGGATCTCCACCCAAAACTTTGCCTGAGCAATCAGCATTTCTGCTCATGCAGAACTTCCCCAGCAGCTGGAGATGGAAGTGGCAATGAGGCAGCAGCCGGATGGACTCAGGAGAACCCATTTTAGGGAAGAGATAGCTATTTGTAGGGTTGAACTGCCATTTTTTGTTGTTACTGCAGCAGCCAGGAGGGCTAGCAGACTGACCAAAATTGCTTAACCTGGCCATACACCTATAGATTATCTGCAGACTTTCTATGGTCAGATGGAAAAAGCGCTACACATTCCCTCCATCTACGCTAAACTGTGTGGATGGAGGAATCTCCCACTGGGCCAAGCTTCCGTATCTTGCTAGTCAGCCCCGCTGGCTACCAAAATACCTGAACAATCTGATTGGATGCAGGCATTGTTCAGGTATTTTGAGAGCCAGTGGGGCCGATGACGATCAATGGACATCATGCGCCAGATGTTTCTATATGATGACGTATGCTATATACCAGACATTATACGGGATGACATTTGTTTTTCGGTATATCAGCTTGTTCCTTATAAGCCACTTTGGATTGGTTATTTGGCTGCTGCCTCCGCATGAAAAAGTTGAAGAGGCTGGCTATGAATTACCCTGAAAGCATCAATTCTAAACTGCCCTAGCAATAAAAAGGCCACATATTGCACTGATTTTTTTTAAGGCATGTCAATCAGCATATACAGTATGTTTAGACCTTCAACCTTTCCACTTCTGTCAATACAGGAAAGAGTTGACAACTTATAGTACAAACAGATGGCCCATTTAAGAGTTAACCTTTTTCCCTAAAATGTTTTAGCACATTAACACAAAAATGTGTTAATCACCGCCTGAAAACAGGTCATAGTAGAAGGACTTGTTTGATTTAATCTGTTTGCTGAAAGTAACCTAGGGCAATTCACATTCCCTGTGTGGGGTTCCAAAACGTGTTCTGTATTTCTTTCAGGTGTAGGAATGGCTTTGTGATTTTTAATGTATGTAAATATGGAATTCTTTTCACATTACCCCTTTTTGTCCCCCTTCACATAAGGTGGTGTAAAGAGATATAAAGATGTATAATTAGAGCTATTAGGAGTTAATAAGAGATGACAATGAAATGGAATAATATGAATATAATAAGGGGATAGATAGGAAGAAGGAGAAGTTGTAGGAATGGCAAATGTTAGTCACAAACAGGGCTGGATTGACCATTACACAAAATAAGCACATGCTTAGGGCACCAACGGAAGGGGATAACACAAACATTTTTCTCCTAGCTGACGCCCATTTTTAAACAAGGTTCACATATCCTCTTTGCCCCTTTGCACTGAGCTAACTGATCCCACCCTCCTCCTCAACAGAGGTATGCTTATATATTTACCAAGGCATTCCACACTGCAACTCCTCTCTCTCCGGGCCTCACAGGTGCATTACACTTCTTCTCCTCTGTCTTTGTCTCCCAGCCAGGAGATGAAAGTAGATGAGCCCTATAACCCTCTTAATCATTTATGAAGATTTGATGTGCAGTCTGCCTAGAACCACCAACTCTTCATGACTGACATCCACCCACCAAAGCATTTTTATATTTTTATCATTTTGATGCACTGTTTTCATTAGGGCTGAGGGCACTTTAGACTCCGTGTACCAGGGAGTATTCGTTTTTGCGTGTTTGTGCGCACGGGTTCAGCTTGCTTTTTTGCATGTTTATGCACTTTTTCACATTTTCTTTGCGTGTATGCGTTTTGACTGCCAGCTTAACATTGCGGTCAATGGATGAATGCGTACAAACGCACAAAAACAGAAAATGTGCAACATGCTTCTGTCACGCGTTTCCTGACGTTACCATTGAAGTATATGGGGTAAAAACGAGCTGCAAACTGCTAAAAGCAACTCGTGTACTTTTTTATGCATTTGGCATTTTGCTGCTCAGGTGTGAACAGGGACCATTCAAAATCATGGGATTTCTTGGGTTCAGTGTTTTGAAGCACTTTTTCTACTGCTCAAAAATGCCTATGTGTGAACCAGGCCTAAGAGAAGAACTGAAGCAGGGTGTTGTGACTTTTTACTTGTTAGGACGCTACAGTATGTTATGTATGTACAACACCCTGATACCCCCCTTCCCCCCCTTTCCAACCCAACCAAACCAGTCATGATCAGCTTGCATTGCACTAAGAAACACAGTAGCTAAAGATTAACAATTAAGGATGATGAAAGTTATAGCCATAAAATATTTAAAAAAAGGCATACAGGCATGTTAAAGCTAGCTCCCATGATCTTTTTTTGTTTCAGGGTGGTATATCATCTGGAACCTCCAAAATCCACTTGATTACTCAATGTATTTATTTATCTAGTTATGTGGACAAGATTCATCAGATATTATAAAAACATTGGCATCTTTTAACAAGGTTCCCCATAATACAACATTTTGTTGATGAGTACCCGAGCATAACATTTAGAAAGCGTGCCTCTTTAAGAAATATCTTGGTCCAAGCTGTTTTCAGACTGGGGAAATAAATTATTATTGTTCCTCTCTGTTTGTGGGGACATTTAAATGTGGGTTTTGTGTCTTTTAAAAATGTATTAATAATGTCATGGTGGAGTGCACACTGTTTTTTTTTGGTGTGACTAGCAGGGTGCATGCAGTGGATGTGGGTGCACCCTGTGGGAGGCTATAAAAGGTAAGTGTAGAAGGGGGACCTACGATACTGGTCTTCCCTACTTCTGTGGTGAATGGACCATTGTCACTGGTTTCCTGTGGCTGGTTTGTACAACATGCTTTGGTGCTGTTTGGTGGGGATTGTTATGCTACACAGTCTATGGTCCACTTCTTGTCCAAGATGATGACCCAGAGGCCTTTCTGGTGACACACGAACGAACTACAGAGAGGGAAAGCTGGCATAAGACGCAGTGGGCAGGACTGGTGGCTCCCTTGCTAACCAGCGAGTGACAGCAATCCCACAACAATTTGGAGTTGGTGCACTTAGGATTATAACAAGGTCATGCGAGAAATATTGGCAGTATGAGCACAGCAGGTCAGCAGCTTGTCCTACAAGTTGGGAAAACTCCACGGTCACAAATAAAAGTCATAATACTTTTAACAAGCAGTCAACCTTAGCTGCTTGATGAATTGCTTAAACTGTAATAATTAAGCTTCCCATATAGGTATGACTTTCCATTGTTTGAAAACTCTGCAAACCTTCTGAAGAAAATCACCTGCCTAACCCTTGAATGGATCTAAAATGTTAATTATCAAAGATCTGCCTTCTCACTTTGGCCACCACCATATGAAAATAGAATTCAGAAGGTGATGCTTAAGCATTGTTTTGTTTTGTATTGAATTTCCACCTTTAACCTTCCCCAACTCTTAAGGTGCCCATACATCTGCCGATTATCGTGCAGGGATCGCACGATAATCGGCAGGTGTATGGGCAGCGTGCGACCGCTTCTACTGTAAGGCCGTACGACTTTCCTCTAACGAGCACGCTTGAAAACCACGTTGGTGGCGTGGTCAGAAGACGAATGCCGTACGGGCCAGTGTGCGCAAACGCACACTGCCTGCTCAGCCCTGCAATGATCGGAAGCCCTCCCCTCAGCGGGGAGGGCTTGCAATGATCGCATGTACGATCTGCCTGTCCAAGATGGGCAGATCGTACAAAATTTTAATGACCTGACATCCATCGCACTACGAAAGTCGTGCGATGATTGTAAGGTGTATGGGCAGCTTTACCCTGATCTAAACTCAAGTAGACTAAAGTTACTTGAATAGTTAGGAATTTGTGTACTGAACACATTCATTCTTTGTAAATAATGCACCATACATACTGTCTTTGCTTATGACGGAGTTCTTAATTTTTACAGTAAGATTTTTATGATTGCAAGAAACACTTTTAAAACTATCTATCTATCTATCTATCTATCTATCTATCTATTTATCTATCTATCTATCTATTATTTACACATACATACCATTATCATTGCCATAATCCTGCTGGTTTCGAAACGTAATTCTGCTATCACTTCCTTACTTTTCTAGCTGCGAAGGACTACTCCAAGTGGAAACGTCTCCTTTATTAGAGTAATTTACATCTCACATACCTCTCACTATATCTCTCTCCTTCAGGACAGCTTACATGCACAGGTTAGTTCCAGTTCAGTGACTCAATTAAGAAGTAAAAGAAAGAAAGATGGCACCCCCTGAGCAAGAATCGTGGAAACAAGTTTGTGATAGAAGCTCCTATAATTCCACCTCAACAGATTCCCTTTAAACCTAGTGCTAATAGACATTTGCAGCATGGGTGCCGCTAGCACATCTGTTAGTGAGTGCCCCTGGTCCCTAGTTTCCTGTCAGATCTGTAGCTCACAAGTGAGGGAATTGCTCTGAAACTGCTCCTTGGCTCTGTGCTACAGATGACAGCTAGCCCGCCTGTGGCCAGCATTGATCTCAGCCACCTGCACTTGAAATGGATAGTGGCCATTTAGTGCAGGGGGAGTGTAGTCACTGGCCACACAACTCTGTAAGCAGTGACAGATGCATCTCTCTTACAGGCAGTAGAGGCAGGTTCCAAGGCGGCAATAACAGAGGCCGAGACTGCAGCATCGAGACCTGGGGTAAAAAGTGTTAGCTTTTTCTCCATATTCTGTGTGCAGAAAAGTCTATGTAATGGAAGAGTTTTAATTTATTTTGCTGAGGTTTATATGTGTTTGTGAGACTCTCACTTGGACCCAAAAATATGCTTTAATTATTGTGTCACAAGGACTGTGGCATATGTGTGACATGTATAAAGTGAGTAAGCGTAGGTTTTATTTAACCATACATCACTAAGCCCCTCCCAATGCACGATTTGTCCACACTCACCATTTGCCATGGCACACTACACATGCCTTAACTGTTTGAACCCTAAGGGGGCTTGTTGGAACTGAACGGAACTCTCTTCCTGTACCGTCTAACAACCGTCACCTGGACAGGATGTACTGCTTGGAATTGTGAAATATGACTTCATTCCAGCAGCCCAACAGCCAATTGAAAGAGCTCACACGGGAGGCTGACAGCTCTTCCGCTAATTGTGAAGCAGTAGCTTTGTCAGTCTGCAACAGAAAGTGCTGTTACTGGCAGGATCTGCAGGTAAGAATCTTTGTAATACATTCATAAAAAAATATTTTTTTAAAGGCGAACTTCCCACCTATATTTACCTCTCTTCCAACAGAGCAATGCCTGCAAACTTCTTCGCCGGCATTGACATCTTAGCCCAGTCTTCTTATGCGTTTGGCATTTTCAGCCATCTTAATTGGCATACCTGGCATGACGTAACTCCTACACATGTGGAATGAGAGCTAATTCATCCTGTCATGCACAGTTCAGTGTTCATTCTTAAGAGGTTTGCGAGCAGAAAGGTAAGAAGCTTTTATTGCAGAAAAGATGTATCCCCAGGGCAGGGATACCTATTTTCAAAAAAGTGATCTTCGTTTCAGTTGAGTCCAATGAAAAAAGATATATATCTTTCTTGTTCTGATTTACAGGGGGGCCGCTCTTATCCTTTACAACCATGGAAGGTGCCATCTAAAGGTGCCCATACACCTTACGACCATCGCAAGACTTTTGTCTTGCGATGGTCGTATGCTTCTTGAAAGCCCGTACGATCTGCCCACCTTGGACGGGCAGATCGTACTTGCGATCATCGAAAGCCCGCCCCGCTGAGGGGCGGGCTTCCGATTACGGCAATGCAGAACGGGCAGTGTGCGTGTGCGTGTGCGCACACCGGCCCGTTCCGCAGCTATCGGGCGAGCAGGCTAGAAACCCGCCGCGAATCGTACGATTCTCGGCGGGGTTTTGCACAAGTTCCTAAGATAAAAGTAATGCGACCTTACAGTAGTAGAGGTCGCACGGCT